GTAAGTACCCATCTACCTGTCTTAATTAAACAGGTATGATATATCTATACCTGTGGGTTTATGTGTCTCACCCACGACCTGACACCTGCTTGACTTATCTTATTTTTTTTTTAATTATTTATTGGGCACTCCCCTACATCCTTGTGTAAGGTGAAGCGCAGAAGCGTTTACAGTGCCCAACAGGGAAGCATGCTAAGTTCATGCTTGCCTTTATGTCTCATGAGTTAAGGGCGTAGAAGCCTGAAGAGTCAAGGGCATAGAATCCTGAAGAGTCAGTGGTTTATGTCATCAAGTTATTGGAAGCTCCAACAACTTGTCCCTGAATACGAATTCGCAACTTTCGATTTACACCAGGTACCTACTTTACTGCTAGGTGAACAGAGACTAATGGGGGCAAGGAAGTATGTCCAAACAACTTCCACCGGCCCGGGAATCGAACCCGTGACATCTCGCTTGCGAAGCTTGACGTATCTGAGTGTGGGTTTACGTGTCTGACCCACGGCATGACAGCTGCTTCACGTGCTGTATCTGTCCGTGTGTTTGTCTATCGATACTTAACGGAGCCAACCACTAATGACCAGGTGAGTATTCATCTACCTGCCTCTATTACTGGTACAGGTTACTGACTGACCTGGCCTACCTGAGACAGATAGATAGAGAGTTAGAAAAATAAGACGGAAAATTATTGAAAAAAAAATCGTGTGGAATTTAAGTATACGTGTATTTACGATTATACATATAATATACATATACAGTTACAGTATATCCAGTATATTACGCATTCTATGATTGACTCTAAACCCCTTCTCCCCCCACCCAGGACATGCCACAACTGAACTGTTTTAAGACCTGCACCACACCATATCACACCATACCACACACACACCACCACACACCACACCACACACACACACCACACACACCACCAAACAACACACCCACACACACACACCACACCACACACACACACACACACACACACACACACACACACACCACACACACACCACACAAACACCACACACACCACACCACACCACACACACACACACACACACACACACACCACACACACCGCACACACCACACACACACACACCACACCACACCACACACACCACACCACACCACACACACCACCAAACACCACACCACACACACACACACACACACACACACACACACACACACACACACCACACCACACCACACACCACACACCACACACACACACACACACACACACCACACCACACCACACACACACCACACCACAGTATTTCATAACTAAAACGGAAGCCATGTATGAACCTGAATAGGAATAAAAAAACATAGCAAAGTGCCACTCTTCACTGTCTGTCAGAAAGGGAAGTAAGAGCAAACGAGAGGAGAGGAGAGAAGGAGGAACAGAATAACAAATGGATGGCAAGAGGAATGGGAAGAAGGAGAAAAACTAATAACTGAACTGAAAACCACATCTGAGGCCTCTCTCTCTCTCTCACTCTCTCTCGCTTTCTCTTCTCTCACTCTCTCTCCTGCCTCTTCACCTGCCTCTCATTCTCGCTTTCTCACTCCCCTGGGCCAGCAGCGTGAGGCCGCGGGCATCGCTGCAGAGAAGACAGGCCCGGCCACCACCTGCCACGGCGAGAGGGAGAGAGAGAGAGAGAGAGAGAGAGAGAGTGAGTGAATGAATGCACAGAAAGATATCAATATCAATATCAAAGATATAAAGAGCGTGAGGGCGCAGGGAGGGAGGAAGACAGTGAGAGTAAAAGGAGAGAAAGAGAAAAAAGAAACGAATAAAAGAGAATCGTGCGTAAATTTGCGGGGCCAGGATGAAGAGAGAGAGAGAGAGAGAGAGAGAGAGAGAGAGAGAGAGACTTTACCATCACTCTCACATGGATATCGCTGATGATCAACTCACGGGGGGAGAAATCTTAATTGTGGGTTCAGCTCGCTAAAAACGTCGGAAACACAGACAACTTGAGCTAAAAACTGGCGGGCGCCGGGGGCAGTGAGCAGCGCGCCTGCGGGTTGCGATAAAGTGGAACTGCGAAACTGTGAAGGCGAGGCCCCCTCAGGTCTGACAGGGAGGCTCCTGCTTCTGCTGATAGCGCCCTTCGGGGCCGTCTGGCTTGCTCCAGGGCCCTGGGGCTAGACGAAAGGAGGTCGTAGGGAAAGGGAGGGGTCACAGGTGGGGGAGTTAAGGTAAGGTGCTGTGAGGGAAGGCTACAGGCAAGCAAGGGAAGCAGGAGTGTGGAGCTACGAGAGTGGTAAAGCAAGGTCGAGCGGCTTTAAGGCAGAAAGGGGAGGAAGGGAGGGCCTGAGGAGAGGGAGGGCGGGCGGAAGGGAGTGAATGCCTGAAGGGAGGGAGGGAGGGAGGGATGGAGGGCTATTGATCCAGAGGGTAGGGAGGAAGGGAGTGGGGAAGGGGGCAGCCCTGAGGCCCCCGTGGGTCAGCTTAACGAGCGCCGCGGGGTAAAGGTGACAAACAGAACCCCCCTGGGTCCTGCCCCGCCCCCACCGCTACCTATCTCTGCCCCCCATGGAACCCCCTCCCCCCCTCGACACTACCCTGTACCCCACGAGACCCCCTCCGTCCTCCTTGACCCTCACCATAACACCTCCTCCACCCCCCACGACCCTCACCACAACACCCCCAACACCACCTCCACCCCCACAGCACCTCCACCCCCACAACACCACCCACCCCACAACCTCACCACAACACCACCTCCACCCCCACCTCACCACACACCACCTCCACCCCCACAACACCACCTCCACCCCCCACAACACCACCTCCACCCCACAACCCCTCCACCACAACACCACCTCCACCCCCCACAACCTCCACCCTCCACCCCCCCACAACCCTCACCACAACACCACCTCCACCCCCACAACACCACCTCACAACACCTCCTCCACCCCCACAACCCACCTATCTACCTGACTATCCCCATAACGTAACTATCCACTTAACAACATCCTCCTCTTACACTCCCGCTGTCCATACTACCAATTCCTAGCCCACCCTTGCCTCTCTATCCTCTTTACCTGTCTACCTGAGTATCTTCCTAGCCTGCTAATCATCAAAGAACACCTGTAATTATCCCCTAGGTACACACACACACACACACACACACACACACACACACACACACACACATACATATTAAAATACCTGCACGTGTCTTCGTATTCTTGGACTGTCAATAAAAAAGCCAACCTGGGTCAACACTTAGCCTACAGGAACCGCTAAACTCTCAGCTGACAGCAGAATTTCTAACTGACAGACAATTCAGAAAGCACGCCAGATGTGTGTGTGTGTGTGTGTGGAGTGATAGGTGCGTATAGTGACAGGTGCGTGTAATGACAGGTGCATATAGACAGGTGAGTACAGACAGGTGCGTGCAATTACAGGTGAAATGGATCCAACGTGAAACGCATATATTGAGTTTCTGTTGTTATATAAATATTAAAAAACAAATTTCGTGAAGCATGTTTCTGTTGGCAATACCATCTGTTGTCATCACTGTTACTACTGACATCAACTCCCAACAAAAATTAAAAAAACAAAAACAATCATCGAGCGCCATAACTAACATAAACAAGAACCAACCAATCAGCGCACGCCATACCCTCATAAGCGTATAGATAGATTCTGCCTCACTGCGCCCATCGCCCTAACTCGGAATAGTGGTCATGTGGAGTTACGGCAGGGGGAGGGGGGTGAGGAACCATCTACTACCTCACCTCCTCAATCACTACAACGCCAGACGACGATAAAAAAAAATATTAATACACAGTTTCATTTAACACTATCAATTATAGCCAATGAGAGGAGGGTGGGGGAGGGGAGGGGAGGGGGGAGGGGAGGTGGGGACACGAGTACAGCAATTTATGTTATCATGAATATAAACAGTTATTATTATTATCATGTATTATATATTTCATTGACGATATTTTTTGCTACTTTGAGCTAGAACTACTTTACCATTTCATTGTGAGATAAAACAATGTGTTAATTGATATTTATTATCATTTGTCACTCTCTCTTGATTAAACTACCTTGTGAATCTACCTGGTGGTAATTAATTGAGCAATGTTTATGTAGTGTTATATTCACTGGCCGGGTTACTTGGTTGTGTTATACCTGTGAGTGCCCATGTGATGCTGGTGACTGTTATTGTTCAGGTACAAGTTGTCACCTCCGTCCGTCCACACGCTTTGTAGTTCGACTTAGATCTCATTGATTGTACTCCGCTGGGTGATTGGGTCATATATGGAGAATCAGTCTTAATAATCTCCAATCTGATCTCATGATTGGGGGTACAGTCCTCGTGGGCCACAGTTCTCAACAACAGCGGTGTGTCTTAGTACTAATAGGCCTCAGTCCTAATAGGTTCTACTTCCAATAGTTCCCAGTCGTATATAACTATGTCTGGAGAAACTGGCTCCCCATTATCTCCGCTTTGGCTAGAGTCTCCAAGCAATATCGAGGTCATGCCACACTCCTCGTCCTTTCTGTGCCATTAGTTATGTGAGTCAGTCAAATACATTCAAGGATCACCATTTAGGGAGGGTGGCAAGAGAGTGGTAATTTAATACAGAGGGTTGAGAGAGTTGGTGGGGCAGGGACAACCATCACTGCTCTACACCTGACAAGAGGAGTGGTGGTATCACCTCACCCCCTGACACTAAAAGGGCCTTAGCGTGGGCTGCTGGCTCCTGCTGCACGCACATGTAACTGTCGCTCTTGATGTTGGCACTCTTTTAACTGTTATACTGAACAGCTGTGTTGATATAGTGCCTGCAGCAGGAGCAGCAACAGCAGCAGGACCAGCAGCAGCAGAAGCAGCAGGCGTAGAGTGGAAGCAGGAGGACCGGCCACGAGTCAGGACCATCACTCAGGTACAACAGTTACAAATTCAACAGCTGCAGCAGGTACATGTGCAGCAGGTACAGGTGCAGCAGGAGCAAGCAGTCCACTTTAA